ACAAGTCCCAGCCGAGGGTCATCCTATAATATGCCCAGTGCTCTTTACAACTTCAAGGTCATCGGAAACAAGGAAGGTCTGAGAAACTGCCACAGTCAAGAGCAGCCTAAAGAGACTTGAGAACTAAATGCAGAGTGGATGGAAGCCTGGGACAGAGAAGGACATCAGGTAAGAATAAGGGACTATGAGTAAACTATGGACTTCAGTTAATAATAATGTGCCAATATTTATTCATTAATCATAACAGATGTGTCATGTTAATGTAACATGTTTATAAAGGAGACATTGGACACAGGGGTAGGGGTAAAATCTTAACTCCTTAGACTATCCGCTCACTTTTTTCTTTAAATTTAAAATTGTTCTGAAAATTAAGGGTCTCTAATTAAAGAGGGTCTAGAGGTTAGAGACAGAAGTAGGAGACTCCCTCTCTTGCCGGTCTTGGATAAATAAACTTTTACGAGCTCCACAGCTGTAGGGAAGTGAATTCTCCCCCTGACATGACAGCCTTGGCTGAGGACCTCAAACCTCAGATGAGGCCCAGCCCCAGCTTCAACTCTGATCATAGTTCTTTCTGTGAGATCCTCAACGGAAAACCCGGTTAAGCCAGGCATGGAATTCGGATCCACACAACTTTCGACATAGAAGCATTTATAGTTTTAAGCTGCCCAAATAAAATTAACCAAAATCAAAATATAATAACAAACATCTTAGAATGAATGAATGTGCTGCAGAAAATTTTAGTAATTAAAATGTAGAGAGTCCCTCAGTGTCTTCATGGGAGGTCAAGGGAGCTGTCTCTGAGGGGGGACCTTCCAGTTGGAGTCTGAATCAGGGGGAGGAGCCATTAATGAGATATTATGGGGGAAGCTCTGTGGAGAAAGGCATCAGCCAGCTACAGGGCCTTGAGGTAAAAGTGTGTGTTCCCGAATAGAAAGGCAGTCCGTGTGACTGCAGGGGCATGAGTGTAGGGGAAGGAACAGGAAAGGAGGTCCGAGAGGCAGTATCGGCCAGATTACAAAGGGCCCTTAAAGAAGGGTAAGGAATTTGGGTTTTAAATTCAACTGGAAGCCATTGGACTATTGACAGCAGAAGAGAAGGATATTTGATTTATCGTTGTTGATTTTCTTCTTTTGAAGTGACGCTAACTTCTCTGTGCAGGACTGATCCCAGAGTGGCTGGAGAGGAGTTGAAGCATCCAGGTAGAGGCTCCAGCATTAGCCTAGAGAACAGATGGAACACTTCCAGCAGGAGGGGTGTGGAGGGCCCTTGCTAGGGCGGGGCATGGCTTGGCTGTGCAGACCAGAGTCCACAAGCTACACCAGCAAGGGAATCATAAGTGACCAGAGCCGTCACATGCCTCCTCGGCTTGCAGTCTTTCCCTGTGTCATCCTGTTCCCGAGCTTCTGCATATCACTGATGAATCATCAGGACAGTTGCTGCCACCCAAATGGTGCTGTGCCAGTCTGGGCTAGATCCTCCCTGGAGGCTCTGCCAAAAGGGAAACTGGATCCCACCGGCCACCCCCAGCCTCTAGGCTTGACGAAGCTGCCCTGCTTAATTAATTACCTCCTCTGGGTTGAGCATTAATTAAACAATTTGTTGCTAGTTATTTCATGGGATGCCAGGTGCCCTCTCTTTAACCCAGAAACAGTGAAACCTTGAATGGAGAAGTGCCCCGTGCAGCCGGCCCGGCTTCCTATGGAAAGGAGACAGGGCTGTGAATAGATTCTTCCGTGTTTATTTCGGCCCTGGCAGCTTCACCTAAAGTCACCTGCAATTCCACCTGTGATTCTTCACTCCAAATGTCCTTTTCTCAGTCTTGCTGCTGCTTCCTTTCCTCCTGCTGGCCACACCCATGCCTGGCCAGCTCCAGAAGCTGCTGCAGGTAGTCCCCACCTGCGCATCCCACTTGCAGCCCCATCCGAGCCCTTGGGCACCTGTCTGTGTTCAGCTGCAGACTGTAAAACCCCAACCTGGGTGAAAGCTTAGGCCATGGGGCCTTTTTGTGTCACTCTGTGGGAAACACCTGCAGTTTGGTGACTGATGCTTTGCTGTGTCTGGGAGGTGGCTGTAGAGGGTGGCTTGCTGTTCAAGTTCTTCAGCAGGTTGACAATGGGAGATTAACCCCTAGAGGTGCTCAGAGGGTTGGTGCTGACATGTCTCTGACATACGGGGTTCTGTGGTTCCAGGCCACGCTTCTGGGTTGGCGTCCAGCCTCTCAGATTAGCTCTCACAGCTGATCAGGGGCCCGGAGGCACCACCTTTCTGCCTGGGTCTGTTTCCTCCCTAGTTCCCAACTAAGCCAAGCTCATGGGTCAGCAGATGGCAGCTGCCCTGGGCATCTGGACTCCCAGGTCTGTGTCTACCCCAATTGGAAAGGACTCTAATTTGAGAAGGATGAGAGTGCCTTCACCCCACCTCCCCAGAGTCATCTTCCAAAGAAGACCATCATTCAAGGGGTCAGCAGCTAATGGCTCTGTTCTCTAGCCCCTTCTGTTACTGCCTGGCCTGAAGGTATCCACGAGCATGTGGACACCACTTCCCTCTCGGCCGCTTGCAGGAAGACACTGCTTTACCTAGGGTCACGGACGACAAAGCTCTGGGGTGAAGGAGAAGCCTAGGCAGCCTTTGGGTCAGATGGATTCACTCTGGCCTGGATGGCCCCCAATTATCAAGAAAGACCTGTAACAGCAGATCCTGAAAGCTCATTGTCACACGGATACTATCAGAAAGTATGGTTTTGTCATTAAAAAATACAGGGCAAGTCCAACAAAAGCTGACTGACCTGCCCCCCTCCCCCACCATAATCAGGGCTTGGATGGCCTTTCCAGCAATAACAGGCCCATTAGTACCACCCTATCTTTTGTTGCATAAGGCTTGGAGGAACAATCATGGAAGGCTAGAGAAAAAAAAAAAATATATATATATATATATACACACACACACACACACATCACAGGTAACATATATATATATATTTCATGAGAGGCCTTGGCCAACCAGTTGTCCCTAGTACCATACCATATTGGAGCTAGAAAGTACACTAAGGTTCACTTGCTCCACCCATCCCTGGCTCTGTGTGCACAGGCAGACCACCAGAAGCTCTGCTTGGGACCCAATATCAGTGTTTTGTGAAAACTCTTCAGGCAGCTCTGACATGCAGCAGGTGAGCACCACTCGGGGCAAGCAGGAAGCAGGGCTCTCATTCTGCAGCCTGGAGGGAGGGGTTGCAGACTCAGAATCAAGTCTAGCCAGGGCTTTCAGACTGTTTTGCCAGAGCCCCAGGCTTCTGGGAAGTGCCTCCGCAGTGGATGGAAGCTTCCCACTCTTTGTCTCCTCACCCCCTTTGGGAGGTGTCCCAGTGACCTCACCGCAGTCACAGCTTTTGGCCCTTCCACGGTCACCCAGTTCTAACCTGCTTATTGTCTGACGTGCAATGTGTGGCCTGGTCAGAAAGGACAAGCTAGCCAGTTGCACCTGGCTGTTGGTTGCAAGCTCACTGAAGCTGCCCAGAAAGACGTTCTCCAAGAATGGAAAGGCCCCAGGCTTAGCACCTAGGCAAGCTCTGAACCTTGTGCCTACCTGAAGGAAAGAGGACAGTGGAGAACTTGCCCAGGAGCCAAAGAGGAGGAGATGAGAGAGAGCCACCCCTGGGGATTCCTGCTCTGCCTGAGGCCTATTTGCTCAGCTTTTCTTGGATTCCTGGGAGCCCTCTCTAGACCCTCAGGAAAGCCCTGTTTTACTGGAGCTGTCTTTATATATCCAAAGAAGACTTAGAGAGAGGCATCACTACAAACAGAGCCACTCCACTTTTATCTTTTTACATTTGGAGGTCCATGTAAAAGTTGAATTTCTCCTTGGAGAACCTCCTCTTTCCTTTGGCACAGAATGCATGTGCTTCAAGGGAACGGGGAACTTTCAGGCTCAAGCTGATCCTGTAATATTCGCCTCCTCCCCCCAAAGCAGAGCTCAGTAGGCTCCAGAGATCTCTGTGTACCAAGAGGGCAAGTTCCCTTTCCCAGCTGGACCTGCGGATAAAGAACCAGCATGGTCCATTTCTCCTCCTCCCACCTCTGCTCAGAAACCCAGAACCTGGCTGTTCTCAAAAGAGACCTGAGCCGGGCATTTATTCGTGTGGATATCTGCAGCCTAGCTGACATCTGTTATCTTGTGTAAGACTCATCTTCCCTTCTTTTCACAAATAATTCCAATTCTCTCTCTCTAAGCCCATTTCCCCTCTACCAAAGTCCACACAATTCATCCACTACCTTTCTCTGAGCATCCCAAAATGTGGCACTGGATGAGACTCAAACCAGGAGACCAAAAAGCACATTCTAGCTTTTCAGAGAAGCAAGAGGCACAAGTAGACACTGGATGAACTTTTATGCTCACAGACAGGATACCTATTCCTATATGGCTATGCAGTCTTCCTGACATACAGCTCCCTTTAGGGAACGATGGTTGGCTCTATGGTTGTGATAATAATAGAGTAAGGGGGACAGAGGCAAGAGAGTGTGTAGCCCTGTCCCACACTACCTCATTGTAAATGGGGGAAATTAAGACCATAAGTCAAGGATGAACATAGGCACTTGGAGAGGAAGCTAGCTGCCCAGAGTGCACCCACTTCCTTCATCCACACTGAAGCCCAAGGCCTGGGTGTCTAAGATGCCCAGGCACCTTCTGGGTTCATGCTTCTTCCAGGTCCCAGATCTCTATCTGCCATAACACAAGTCTCATACCATAGTGTGCTTCTTCCACAGCAGGCAGACCCCTTCCCCACAGGGTGGGGGACCGTGTCTTCTTTGCTTCTGCATCCCCAACAGCTGGTTCAGTGGCAAGTGGGAGGGAGGAACTCAGAGAACGTCTGCTGAGCCAAGGGAGGAGTGGGGAGAAGAGCTCTGTCAAGTCATGGCTGTCCTCCATGCCTCTCACATTCTCCCAGAACTCCAGGAACCAGGTCCTTTTTTGTCCCTACCGCATCCCCACCCCTGTGGCCTTACCTCCCATGAGGAAGAGAAGCCCTGCCACATACTGCATAAGGCCTCGGTCCCAGCAGCAGCCCAGCACACCGATGATCCAGCCAAAGAGGATGATGGCCACCGCCATGCCCATGAAGCCGGCCGTCATTCTGCGCAGGTCTGTGGGGAAGCAGGAAGGCAGCAGTCAGCATCAAAGCCTGGGACTCAGAGTTAGGAGCACCCTAGTCCTGGGGTAGGAAGGGGAGTGGTCATGGCGGGGACAGGAAGGAGGCAACCCGCTCTTCTCAGATAGGTTTGTGTAACCCAGCATCCTTGGCAGAGGAGAGAGTCCCCCCCGATGGTAACTCTGACCTGTGCACAAATATGCTAGGCACAGGGAGAGCTCATCATAATACAGTTGTCATTGCTTGGGCATCTCATTTGTGCCAGACCAGTGCTGCCCTCCCCGTGCATCTATCTCAACTTCCAGAGACAGTGCTGACTTAATCCCTCTCTGTACAGGAACAACTTGCTAAAATGCATGCAGGTAGTAAACTACTGTCAGAACAGGGACTCAAACTCAGACCCATGTGGCCAACCCAGTATTTGTCAGCCTCTCAGAGAGGTAAGAATCGAGGAGATGGGCTATTGAAGCTGAGCAGGGCCTTGGCAGTCGGGTTGCCCCTGCCAAGGCCTGCCTCCCTTCTTGCCAGGGTTTGCTGGTCTCTCTGAGAGGCTGCTGGGAGGAGAAGCTGCTGATTTAGGGGCTTCCTTCCCTTCCAAACTGGCTCCATGGCTTGGTCTGGCTGCAGAGCGAGAGCCACACTGCCTGCCCTCTGTCTGGGCCCCTGGAGCAGTCCCCTTTCTCAGTTCCTTCACCCTTCCACCCTCAGGTCAGCTCTGTGTTCAGGGTCAGGACTTTCCCTGTTCCAGGCCTCCCTGACCCATCAGACGCAGTCCACAGACACAGATGGAAAGACAGCATTCTCAGCAGGAGGGAGAGGGCAGAGCTTCTGCCATAGCTCAGCTGGTCACTCAGCACCTTGCTCAGCTGGGCGTCCTCCCTGGCTCTGCCCTCCAGTCTACAGAACTGACCACAGCCATTGCCACGTTCCCTCTCAATGTGCCTGCTCCCCAGCACACTTCCCACTCTTCCCACTCTGTCCCTAGAACCAGGTCTTACTTCCTCCTGGGAAGCACCCCACCCCTGTCTTGCTGGCCGCTCCTTCCACCCAACACCCACCCACAGCTCCTTCTCACCTGCCTACATGGGAGCTCAGACACCAGCCCTAGCCTGCCCCACCGGGCTCCAAAGCGGAGCAAAGCCATTTTATCCACCTCTGCCCCAGGGCACAACTCACCACCCGCCAACAATGCAGGGCAGCCTGGAGGACCCCAGGACAGTCTCCTCTCAAAGAAAGGGTGATGTGTGAGCAGGGCAGGGAAGACACCAGAAGCAAATGATGTCACCACCACCTGATAGGAGCACACACCCCCAGCACACCTGTCTCTTCCCATCCCTGAGAAACAAATGCCCTGAGGATTTCTGCAGGGAATCCCTTGGGGTCTGCTTATCTCTTGAGGGAGATGAGGAAGCCCACCCTCCCCTCCTCCCCCTCTCCAGCCACTCTGTGGAGAACCCAGAGCAAACAAAAAGATCCCCAGCAGAGTTTAGCTTGAGGCTCCTCTGTCTGCCTGAGATCTGGTCTTTTCTTCCTAACATGGAGGATCTGACACTGTGGACCCCCAGCCCAGGGTGGAAGCTAGCTAGGAGGGAGATGTGTGTTGGGGACAGAGACTCCTTTACCTTCCAGGGCTGACCTGCATGCCTGTCCCAGCCACATAGAAGTAATACTCGTTACTGTCACCTCTGGGAATTGCCAAGGATGCCGAATTACCATGCAGCACCATACTGATTGCTCCTGTCACCAAATGAGTCATGCGAAGCTTTGTTGGAGCATCCTTTGATTACAATGCTAAAACGTGAGCCCAGCTTCCTGTGCAGTCAGCCACAGCCAGCCCAAAGTAAGGGAAGAGGGAAGGAACATTCCTGCCGGAGAGACTGTCCTGTTTATAGACTCACCCACAGCTGTCCCTTCTCTCCCAGCTGTCCAGATGCACTCACCCCCAGACCCTTGGTTCACCACAGGGACTGAGCTGCCTCCTTTCCCCACAGGTGCCCATTAGACACATGGATCCAACTGGATTGATTCTTGGAAACAGGATACTCTGTGTAACCGATGCTTCTTTACTCTCTACTCTTCAAGGGCAAGGAGGAGGTGGGGAGGGGAAGAGAGGCCAGCTGGTTTCACAACCTCCCAAAGGGAGGTTTATACCCTCTTCCACAGGAGAAGTCAAAGGTCAGCACGTTCTTCTCCTGGGCCCTTCCCTGGGTACAGGAGGGTTTGGGGACAGGGGATCCTGTTCCCTTTGACTGCACTAGCCCTACTGAGCCCCTCTCTGCTGCAAGATGGACTCTCACTTGGCTATGCTCATTGGAAGGCCTCACTGGCCCCCCAGACTCTGCAGATCTGCAGGAGCAATTGAGTGGACAATGGGTCACATCAGGTCACACACTTTGTCCAGAGATGGATGGAAAGGCAGGCTGAGCAGAAAACAAAAGGGAAATGCTAATCAGAAAAAGGATGGAACTGGAGGCTCTCATGCTAAATGAAATAAGCCAATCCAAAAAACCCAAAAGCCAAACGTTCTGATATGCAGATGCTAACTCACAATAAGGGCTGGGGAGAGAAGAACAGAAGTTCAGTGGATCAGACAAAGGGGAATGAAGGGAAGAGAGGGGGAAAGACAGTAGAATGAACTGGATATAATTTCTCTCTGCTCCTATATGAACACACAACCAGTCTAACTGCACATCATGTACCACCACAGATTGGGAAGTCAGACTCTGTGTATGTGAATATGTCAAATACACTCTACTATCATGGATAGGTAAAAAGAACAAACACAAATAAAAAGGGAGAGTTGTTGGAAGATGAGACCAAAGTGTTTTACTTAGAAGAAAACAGGGAGGAAGGAGAAAGGCGGGAAATGGAGAGAATAATTCCTCTTCCAAAAGTTTGGGGCATCACTAGTTCTCTGGGCTCCAGAGGGACTGCTCCGAGGGACTGCTGCCCTCTCACCCAGACTAGACACACTAACCTGTCTCCCAAGGGATTTGTCAACAGAAGCCTAGGGTTATGCTAAGTTGCTGATCTGGAAACAAGGATGGAAACCAGAGGCCCCGCAGGAGTACTTTCACTGACCCAGGAAGATCCCCACATCCCCCTGTGTGTCTGATTTTGCCTGAGCTGCGCTCCAACAGCTGGCTGTTTTGTCCTCAGACCTACAGAGGCAAGCTGCGGCACTACCTCATAAAGCAGGTAGGACAAGAAATGTTCCTATTTTACAGATGAGGAAGGAAAGACCCAAAGATGTTAGATAATTTATTGACAGTCTCAAAAGCAGTGAACTACAAGAAGAATTAACAACCGTATTATTAAGTGATGTGAGAAAATAAAATAAAAAATGGAATTAAAGACCTGCTTGGTTACAATAACACATTGAATCAATGTTACCTAGCAGTTTTTCCTCCCAAACCATTTTAAGAGATTTGTTAAAAAAAAAAAAACAAAAACAGAAATTCACAAGGATGGGGAAAACATGCAGAAAGAAATTGTGACCACCGCAAGAACATTGAAGCTCTGGAACTGACAGACTCCATAACTACTTAGTGGAAGGGCCAAATCTAAAGCCAACATCAAGGAGGCTGAAAACCCACCTGCAGAGTCCCCAAAGGTTCACGAAGGTCTCTTGGGATCATGAAGTCAAGCACAGGGGAGCGAGAGCAAACAAGGATTTGGTGGAGGTTATTGGAGAAGAAACTAGATTCCTAGATTCCTGACCCACCTTCCACACCACTGAGGGACACCTCTGTGCCCCCACCCCCAGGGACATAAAACAGAGTACCTAGGAATGGGGTCAACATGCTCAGGTGAGGGTAGACCAGCACAGTTAGGGGTCAAGGTATTGGACAAGAAATTCACAACCAGACCCTCAGGAGGTGTTTGACTATATGTATACTTGACATTGAACCTCACCATTGAGAGTCCAACTCCTCCACCTTGGCTCCCAGGCCTTTGCCCTCCCTCAGAGATTGGGAGTGACCTTTGCCCCATGCATGGTCCCTCAGACCACTCTACAATGAAGCCCTAAGTTGTCTCGGGATTTCCCCAGCCGGCTCAGCGCTCCCACGCAGCTCTTTAGTACCCCGCTTTTAAACGCGAGCACACAACCAATTATCTCCAGATATCTGAGAACAGCCTACAAGTTGGGGGGAAACAACGTGGGAAACTCTGCAGGGAGAATAAAAACATCATTCAAAATTATTATTAACATCCCCAGAGAGACGACAGCAGAAAGATATTGCCTCCATGAAATAAAAACAGAATGCTATTAAAAAGGACAAGCTGGAGAACAAAAACAATACCTTGAAATAAAATAATGGAATCAAAATCTATGAAGTTTATATTATAAATTCAATTCTAACTCACGTATTAATGGTCCTATCATGCTCCAAAAGACTTAAGGAGGCTTACAAACTGCTGAAAAATGGCAGGAAAATGAGGAAATGCAGAAAAGGAAGATGAAGCCAGATATTACATTCCCACACAAAACTTGGTCCATCAGCTCGTAGGAAGGTATTATACCTCATATTTGAACTTGGAGGCATTTGTACATTATTTCCATTGTTTTAAAATCTGTTGCTTTTTGTTCGCATTCGAGTGAGTCCCAGCTGCCACTCTGTCTGTGGATGGCCACATGCAGATGGCACCAATGCGGCCCACCTGCCTGGATCTACGTGTCAATCTTCTCTCTTGAGGAGTAAGGAATGACCATTTAATTCTCTGTGATTTCTCACTGTGCCCAACGCTGTACATAGCTTGTATTTCTCTCCCCCATCCCTTCCTGCCATTCTGGAAAAAGAAGGAGAAAAATAAAAAGGAAAGAAAAAGAAAAGAAGAGGTAGAAAACCCTAATTAACCTAACTCTGAAGATTTGGAAAAATATTTCCTGGGGCTAGCCTAACTAATCCCATTGGAAAGAGTCTTGTACGTTAAGTTTGACTCTGCAGGCAAAGGCCTAGATGAAAAAATCTTTTCACCAGTCGTGTTGGGTTT